AATATGTCTAGCCAATGCGAACCTTAGCTAGTGCACGTATAACTATTCTACCCAACTCACAGATCAATACATCGGGAGACACCTTTAACCTAGACTAGCTTGTTCGCAAGTTCACTAAGGGAGAAGAGTTGCACAATTGATTTGATGAAAAAGCATCTTCGGTCTTCAAGGTTGAGTACTTTTCTTATCATTTCTAGTTTTTTGTTCTTTGAACATTAGTATACAAAACGTATACTAGCCGTTGTTATTGTTTTTCATAAGGACATTAATTATTGAATTATGCAAAGTTTGTTTGAATTTTAGCCCTTGCTTTCTTTTTTCTTCTTTATTTACACTTTATTTTCATTTTAGAGACAACCAATATGATCACTTCTTAAAAACCTAAATGATTATTCTAAAAATATTTGACCTAATTTTAAGGAAACCTAAATTACAATGGACGAGGAAGAATGGGATGACAATGACATTCAAGAATTCACTAAACTGGTTGAACATTCAAAATGGTCCCTTCAATTGCATAAAGAAGACTTGGAAATAATAAATGTGGAGACCAAAGAGAATGGGAGGGAGCTAAAGATAGGTACCACGATGGAGGGTGCGAAAAAGAAAAGTTCATTACACTTCTAGAAGAATATACGGATGTGTTTGCATTGCATGGTTGGATGCTAATATGCCGAGCTAAGCGGATGTGTTTGCATGGTTGTATGCCGATATACCAAGCTTAGACACTAACATAGTGGAATACGGATCGCCCTTAAACCTAGGGAGTAGGCCAATGAAATAGAAGTTAAGGTGAACAAGGTCGGATATTCTACCGAAAGTCAACGATGAGATAAAAAAATAGTGGGATATTGGATTTTTAAAAATGTTTGAATATCCTTAGTGGGTGTCGAATATCATTATAGTGGGAAAGAAAGACAGATCAAATCCAAATGTGTGTGGACTTTCATGATTTGAATAGGGCCAGTTCGAAGGATGATTTCTTGCTCTGCCATATTGACATCTTGGTGGATAACATAATAAAGAACACAACTTATTCATTTATGGATGGGTTCGGGAGCAACAAGATCAAAATGGCCATAGAGATAAGGAGAAGACAATTTTTATCACACCTTAGGGACCTTCTACTATAAGGTTATGCCATTTGGTTTAAAAAGTGCTAGAGTCACTTATTAGAGGGCCATGGTCACACTTTTTCATGACGTGATGCATAATAATATTAAGGTGTATGTAGATGTTATGATTACAAAGTCGAAGGAAGGCGAATATCATACTCGACCTTAAGGAAGCTCTTTGAGAGGTTGAGAAAATACAAATTGAAGCCGAATCTAGCAAAGTGCACATTCGGTCGGGAAAACCGCTAGGGTTTGTGGTAAGCAACAAAGGAATTAAAGTCGATCTAGATAAGGTTAAGGCAATTCAAAAATACCAGCATTTTCATCTAAAAAGGAAATTAAAAGTTTCTTAGGTCAGTTTGAACTACAAAGCTCGATTCATATTTCAATTTTTTGCAATCTATGAATCAATCTTTCGGTTATTACAAAAGAAGAATCCTAGTATATGGGATCATGACTCGTCAATTAGCCTTTGATGAAATTAAGCAACCTATAGGATCCGTCATTGTTGGTACCACCGGCTCTTGGGAGGCCTTTGATTCCATACTTGACACCGACAGAGGTAGCTTGGGTTACGTCCTAGTTTAGTGTGATGAATCGAAGGGAAAGAGCAAGCTATTTACTACTTGAGCAAGAAGTTCATCGACTATGAGTCCCAATATAATGTGCTTGAGAAGATGTGTTGTGGCTTGGTGTGGTGTGCAAAAAGGCTTAGATAATACATGCTTTATTATACCACAAGTTGATTTCAAATATGGATTTACTTAAGTATATCTTCGTAAAGCCATACCTATCTAGTCATATCACATGATGGTAGGTCATGATATCTAAGTATGACATTGTGTACATGATGAGAAAGGCGAGTAAAAGGAAATGTCATAGCCAGCTCAACTAATAGATGGTCCAATCGATGATTATGAACCTCTCGAAGTTTAATTTTTTTGATGAGTCAATTATGGCCATAGATGAAGGATCTAAGCCTTAAAGTGGAAAATGAACCATGTATTTTGATGGGGTAGTGAATATGAATGGAAATGGCATCGAGTCAATCCTCATCTCACTAGACGTAATGTAGTTCCTAATGGTCGTCAAATTACAATTTGAATTCATGAATAACATAATAGAATATGAGGGGTGCATGCATGGGTTAGATGCGACCTTGGAGATGAGAATCTAGAAGTTAGATTTGTATGGTGATTCACTACTAATAATCTATCAAGTCAAAGGGGAATGACAATGAAAGATAAAAAGTTAAAGCCATATTAGGAGTATTTAACAAAGCTAACTCGATCGCTTCGATGAGATAGAGTTCACCCATTTGGGGCAAGACAAGAATCACTTCGTTGATGCCCGGCCACACTAGCTACAATGATAAAGATAGCATATGGTATAAAGATCCATCCCATATGTATTGAGATTAGAAATACCCTAACACATTCATGTTGTTTGATTGAGAAAGAGCTTGATGAAAAGCCATGGTATAAGATGTCAAGCAATTCATAAAATATCAAGAATATCCATCATGTGCTTCAAAGATTGATAGGAAGACACTTTAGAGGTTAGCAATGGATTTTTATCTAGATTATGAAATGTTATACAAAAGAGGTTTTGATGAAAGTTTATTGAGGTATTTAGACTCGATGAAACTAAGAAGGTGATTAAAGACGTTCATGAGGGGAATTGTGTAACCCGACCAACGAACACACGATGGCTCATCAAATTCAGAGGTATGGCTATTTTTAGACTACCATGAAAAAGGATTGTATAGACTATGTGTAGAAGGACCATAAATGCCCAATCTATGTAGATCAAATAAATGCTCCTCCCGTACCCCTCTATAACATGGTGCCTCTTTGGTCGTTCTCAATGTGGGGGATGGATGTGATTGGGTTGCTAAACTTGAAAGCTAATAATGGTATCGACTCATCCTAGTAGTAATCGATTACTTCACCAAATGGGTTGAAGCAAGCATCCTTCGTACATGTTACCTAGAGAGTTGTTCGTTGATTCTTGTAAAAGGACATCATATGTCGATATAGACTCGAAAACCTTGATCATAGATAATGTATAGAATTTTAATGGCGGGATGATCACAAAATTATGCAAATAGTGGAAAATCAAGCACGGTAATTCTTCACCATATAGACCCAAGATGAATAGGGTCGTGAAAGCCGCAAACAAGAATATAAAGAAGATCATATAAAAAATGATAGTCACGTACAAGAATTGGCATGAAATGCTACCATTTGCACTATATGCTTATAGGATGGTATTAAGGATGTCGACTAGGGGAACTCCTTACTCATTGGTATTTAGAATGGAGGTAGTGATGCCCATGGAAGTAGAGATACCATCTCTCGAAGGTATTAAAAGAAGTAGAGCTAAATGAGTCGGAATGGGCCCAAATCAGATTGAATAGCTGAATTTATTAGTGAGAAGAGGCTAGCAGTTATTTGTCATGTACAACTACATTAGAAAAGAATGGCTCGAGCATATGATAAGAAAGTTCGCACAAGAACTTTTAGCGAAAGGGATCTAGTTTTGAAAACAAGTACTCCTTATTTGGGGGTAGAAAGAAGTAAGTGAGCACCTAATTAGAAAGAAGTAAAAGAGTATTCTTCGGAGGAGTTCCCTTTTTGATGAAGATGGATGGTGAAGTCTTAACGAAGCCGGTGAATTCCGACATTGTAAAAAAATATCATGCATAAGCATACGAAGTTTTTCTTTGTTCCATTGCAAAAAAAAAAAAAAAAAGAAATAATCAAAATTATGTTAAATATTTGCTAGTTTAATCATTTTACCTTTTGCTTCTCTTTTCTTTTCTTTTTGCCCATCCTATATGAACAATCCTCGATTTTTAATCCATCAAAATGACCCACTCCCTTACAAAGGTGATCAATCCTTGAAAAACAAACAAAATTATTTATTGGTCTCATATGCAATCTCATGTTTAATGTGATTTATGAAAAATGATAACACAAAAAAGGACAAATGATAGAAATGATAGGAATTTTATTCGCTCTTGATGGATGAAAAGGCTTTTTCATAAACCCTTCATGCAAAAATAATAATAATAATAATGAATAGCAGATTATGATAATCAAAGGTTGCTCCAACGAGTTTTGGAGTACTCCTAACCAATATGCATTGGCAAGGAATAAGGCATTTGGGAATGACATTGCAATTATATGTGTAAAAAGATGGGCAACAAAAAAAAAAGTTGATTCAAGAGATGTGTGATTAAGCACACAAAAATTCATAATAGTAGCCATCCTAGGAATCACAAACCCATTTCAATGAAGATGGATCGCAGTCGATAGGGAAGCGTATGTTTTAGCGATAATAATTTTTTTTTCGGGTATGTCGCTCAAACTCTAGTTCATTGCCAAAGGAAGATCACTTGCTTGACTATGTGGACGGTCACCTAGGTTAACTCTGTATTAGGAGGAAAGCCTTCTATGATGGACCTCATCGATTGATTCATTTTTTAGCTACTCTTCTATGATTTTCTTTACAAACTTACTGCAAAGCCAAAGAAAAGCCAAATTTTCAATGGCTTCACATTATAAGCTTTGTAAAGAGGAGTAATCGTTAGCACCTAATTTTTTTCCAAAAAATAGAGAAGAGGAAGATAGAAAAATAAATAAAAAAGAAAGAAGAAAAAAGTAAAGGGATTAAAAAAATACAATTGGGGGTGTAATTAAAAAAAAGACAGAGAAAAGAACTCAAATAAAATAGGTTGCAACATAAAGGACCAAAACGGATTTTAGCCAAAAAAACCCTAAAAACCTAGTATAAAAGCACGCATTTTTCCCCAAAAAGAGGCAGCTATTGTTCACCTCTTCCAAAAATAGCCCAGCAGCCTGGCCTTCCCACTACCCTCTCTCACACATAGCCTTCCTCCCCTAGCATGCCCACTCGCCCTCTATCACTCGCACCTTTCCTACCACCGAGCATGCCGTCTATCGTCGGCATCCCTCGGCCCCCACAAGCACTAGCACCCCTCTAGCCTCAACGTGCCTTAACCCCTAGAGTGCCGGTATGCCTCCCCCTTAGCAAGCCTTAACCCTTACAACACCGACCCTCTCTCTCACATTAGGTCTCCCATCCGCGTGCCGGCTCCATAGGAAAATCTCTCTTGTGTGTGCGGTAGTAGCGATGCATAACCAAGCCCTAGCGTAGCACCCCTCTTGCACAAACAGACCTTCCCTCGGCATGCCTCATCCGCTCGTATGTCCCTCTACCGAGCCCTTTCTTGCACATGCACGGCCATAGCCAAGCCTCCCACTCACACGCATGCCTACCTCACCAATGCCTATACGCACTCCTAGCTTCGCATGCTTGCCTTGCCATAGCGCCCGCGTGCCCGCCTCACCTAGCTCGTAATGCCTCGTCTCTATCCATGCGAGCAGCGTCTCACCTAGCGTGTTGTGCCTACTAGCGACCATTGAGCCATATGCTCTAGATCCAATAACCGCCACTCCCGGTCATCTTTCCTCCCCGATTATTTTAGCATGTATTATATGTGATTCATATCAATATGTGTCCGTAATCGATTAATTAATTGTAGTGTGTAATTAATTAAATGTTTTGTTCATGTGTGGTTTATTTGAATGGCCATGATGCATGTTGTTATCATGTTTGCAATTTGAAAGGATGTGTTGGTTTCAATGTTAGGATACTAGCTATTATTTGGAATTTATACTTCTAAAGTGTGTCTTTGTGGTAACTTTATCGAAAAAGGGCACAACGTCAAATCAAGCAAGTTTGAATTTTTTCCATGTAAATCTATTTTTGTCAAATATAATCAATTATGCATATTAAGAAATTAATTTTTTCGATTTTTGTTTTTGTCAATTCTAGTCGATTGCCAATTTTTATCAATTTTTGCCTATATTTGCTTAAGTTTGTCGATTTTTGTCCGTTCTTGCCTAAATTGTTGATTTTTGCTTATGATTGCCTACATTGTCGATTTTTACTTTATTTCCCCTAAATTGTCAATTTTTGCTTATGATTGCCTAAATTGTCAATTTTTTCCTATTACTTGCCTAAATTGTCGATTGTTTACTTATTTCTAACTAAATTATTAATTTTTACTTATTTTCGCCTAAATCATAAATTTTTGCCTATGTTGCCTAAATTGTAAATTTTTATCTATTTTTACCTAAATTGCTAATTTTCCCTTATGTTTGCTTCAATGGTTGACTTTTGTCCTATTGTTGCCCAATCATTGACTTCGTCGGTTTGCCATTTCTATCATTATTTGCCTATTTACCTATTTTGCCAAGTCTCGCCTATTTTTACTTATTTGTCAATTTTTGTCCACTTGCAAGTTTTATCTGTTTTATTATCCTCACATTCATCACTTTTAGCCATCCATTACAGAGTGAGGACGAGATCTCTAATCGGTCAAGTCTCGAATCACTCAACTAGGTGTAAATGCTTAAAATAGTTAGTCTTTCATCATTTTAAAAGAAAAAAATAAGAAATCAAATTAATATTGTATGCAATGCAACTTGCCTTAGGCAAGATAGGGTAGGGTGATTTTTAATCTTTCCTATGTGTAATAAATCCCTTATCCGGAACTCCGAATGGACCAGATCATAGGATTTCTTAGTAACCGTAATACTAGGTGGTGACTCTAATTATTTTTTGCCCTTTTGCCCATTTTGTCCAAATTTGTTGCCCTCGCCCCCGACGTTGCCCTATGATAGAGAAAAGGAGAGAGGGATAAAGAGAGGAAGAGAGAAAGACGAAGAGGGAGAGGGATAAAGAGGGAGGAGAGAGGGGGAGATATAGAGGGAGAAAGGGAGAGGGAGACCTCTCATCCTCTCTTTAGGATCTAGAAATCGATAAAAAACATGAACGCATCCACCAACACAAGAACATCTTCAACTACCCCTTCACAATAGGAATTAGTACGATATGTCAATTATATAATAATGCTAGTTTCTTGTAATAGGCCATAGATTTAATTAAGCATAAATGAAATATGACATAACATATATATATGCTCCTAAATCTAACTTGACCTTTTCAATTTTGGCATTACCAATTTTATAAGGTATAGTAAACATTCCTAAATCCTTGCATTTTAGAGCGAGTTTCCTTTAAAAAATGGTTGAGATATTTTCTCTCATTCTTTCTTTTTCATTAACATCCAGTCTCCTCTTATTAGTGCATAAGTCATTTAAGAACTTAGCATACCTTGGCACTTGGTTGATCAAGTCTAACGAAGTAAATTAGCCTCGACCTTATGAAATAGCTTAAGAATCTCCCTATCTTTTTCCTTGTTCATTTCTTCCTTTTTAGATTTTTACAACATGCTAGGAAATGGTGTAATGTTTGTTGTAAACTGAATTGAAGTGCTAGAATTTACCTTAGAACTTGATACAACCCCATCAACTTGCATATTTTCCTTCTTTATTTCCAGCTCAAGCTCTTCTTCATCTACTACCTCAAAGATTACCTTGCTAGGTTTATCTATCCGAGCACCTCTTCTTAATATCATTGCACTCATATTCTCCTTTAGGTTTGCCATATTTTTGAATGGCAAGTTTCCTTTCGATTGAGCCTCCGAATTACTCACAATAGTTGCTATCCGACTCATATGATTCTCTAATTTTTGGATTCTCTTTTGTTGGAATTGCCTTATGTTTAAAGCAAAAGACTTCACTATGTCCTCCAAAGACTACTTAGAATGGTGGGGTGCATGTTGTTGATAAGGCTTGGGTTAATAACCCTATTACCTTTATCGATAAAAGTTTTTCCCTCTTTTTTGATTACCTTTATAACTTAGAATTGAATGGTCTCTCTAACTAGGCCCGTACATGTTAGAGAATGGGCCATATGGCCTTGATATACCACCAAAATTTCTAATAGCATGGACTTGCTCAATGTGCCCCTCTTGGAGTGTTGGACATGTATTAGTGGCATGGTTTGAAATTGAGCGAGATCCCACAAGCTATAACAGCTTGTAGATTTTGCATAATAATTTGCCTTACTAATAAAGTCATGTTAGACATTTGTTGCTTCAAGCTACCTCATTGATCCTCTTTGGTGCATGATCCAACCTTGTACGAAATTACCGAGAATTTGCTACCATATTAGAAATCAAGACCTTTATAGCATTAGGGGTATTATCTACCAATTATCCTCCATTAGCAACATTAATCATGCTCTTTTCCATAGGTAACAAATACTTATAAAAATACATAATGAATAGTTGATTAGATATTTGATGGTGTGGGTAACTGGCACATAACTTCTTGAACCATTGTTAGTACTTCTTCATTAAATTATCGAATACCAAAAATCTCCTTCCTTATACCGGCAACTCTCAATGTAATGAAATATTTTAATAAGAAGGCCTTCTTCATCTTGTTCTAAGAGTCAATTGATCATGTAAGAAAATCATATAACCAACCCTCTACATCCACATCTAGTGAGAATGGAAGTTTTTATGTGGCTTTTTTCTAACAAGACTATAGAATTTAGGCAATAAATGTATCAATCTTGACTTTAACTCAAAAGCCACATCCAGATTTGAGAACTCAATACATAAGGGCTATTGATTTAGATTAGGAGTAGCCGACTCTTTTAAGTTTTTGTTTACGGCCATTACTTCCTTTTTAGAATTACTCGATGATAAAAACTCAAGATCGTAGTTTTGCTTGATGAAGCAATAACTACTCTCTTGAATGTTTCAATTTGCTTTATTAAAGCTTATCTAGCTTCTCTCATCAATTTATGCAATATTCTTTCTGGTTTAGGGTTAAAGATTAGGTCACTTGTATGAGATATGTCATACACCAACATGATATAAAGAATAAGAAATAATCAAAATGTTAAGAAATAATCAATTTGAATGCAACTCCCTAGCAATGATGCTAAAATTTGATGGCGTGTCATATCATCAATAAATTTAATTATTTCTTTTTCATACTAAACCTAATCACATGACCATAATTAGGGAAACAAGCATCGATCCCATAGATAATCAATCTAATTAATATTTTTATCGTTCGATTATTCCAAGGTACAAGGAAAAGTAAAAAAGGGATTTTGTGTGTTGAGAGTACTAAATGTAGTTAAAATAAGTAAGGAGGTGATAATAGTAATAAAAGCCTTTATTAAAGGTTGGTTTCCATTTTTGGTTCAATTGTTGATTATTGATTCAAACATTAAGCCATTCTTATTATGAATATTCACCATAGGACAACAATAAGCATGTTATCCCTAATCTTTCCTTAATGATTTGTTAATCAATAGAAGCTATTTGATTATTCTCTAACTATTTAACAATCCGGTAGAAGTTATTTAGTTTTAATCCAATAACAACATTAAATGATAGAAAGATAGGTGAAGCTAAATAACTTTCCTAGAAGCTAGAAGAATTTAATCTAGTTCTATGTTTTCCAAGTGATTAAAGAAAAATCCATTTATAATTATTAACCCTTAGTTTCTACCATAAGCAAGTTTAGACAAGCGATTACTGAAATTAAATTCTTAGTTAGCAATAGATTATAAAGATTAATTAACTAGCATCACTCTAATCAATCAATCATACAACCATATTCATATAACATAGAAAAGCATAAAATACCCAAAAGAATAAGATTAGAAATAGAACCTTTTTAGATCTCATAGTGATTTTACTAAAGGCTTCAACTTTTCTTTCAACCAATAAAGGTTTTTAGTGTTGTATGGTTTGCTTACAAAAGATTATTTTCTATCCGTGGTCGTTAAATGAAGAATTAATAAAGTGAAACCATAACTTTTCTATTTATAGCAAAAGTAAGGTTATAGCACACACAACCTCTTCAAGATGTCACACGGCTTATTTTTTATGACATATAGTTTTCTCTTTGAGTTTACATGGTTTGGAGCCTTGAATAACCGGTGGCATATGGCTTGCTTGATCGAGACACATGACTATTCCACATTTATTCTTCATCCCGTGTCCTTTTAGTTTCAGCTCATGTGTCATTTTTTCTCTTTTGAAATACATCTCGAGCATTGACACAAACGGGAGTGTCATTTCTTTTGTCCAACCTTTGTTGATTGCTACAACATGTGTGCCTTCTTTGTTGAACATCCACATGGTTCCCTTCTTTTTTCCCATGGCTAGTAGCTTTTTCCTCTCGATTTGCCATTTTTCCTACAAAACTCAAAATTTCTATCTTTTTCTTAATTATCTTAATATTATACAATAATTACTAGTAAGTTTAATACAAAAGGGTGTAAAAGTTGTGTAAATTATGCATCGATTAGAGGGAGAGAGAGAAAGAGAGAGGAGGAAAGGGAGAGAGAGGAGGGAGAGAGGGGAGAGATAAAGAGAGGATGAGAGAGGTAAGAGATAGTGCGATAAAGAGGAAGAGAGGGAGAGGGAGAAGGAGAAAGGGAGCAAGAGGAAGAGGGAGGGAGGGAGAGAGGGAAAGAGAGGGAG